AGTCTGTCTCACGTGGCACTACACAAAGTCACTGACTGTAGACCAGCGCCCCCTCCCCCCACTCCAGGCTTCCCTCCTCCCTCTCCTCTGGGGTCATATAATTACTTTGGCAACACAGAGAAATCATGGCATAAATCATTTCTCTTAGACACATTCGGAAGGAGGAGGGAAAAAGATGTATTACCCTTGAAAGCAAATTTGTGTCATTGGACTCTGCTAGCCAACAGGCTATAAAAGGATTCAGAGGGAAACCAACCAACCCATAATACTTGAGAAGAGAGAGGGGAACACTCAAAAGATGGCAGAGTGATTGGAAGCTTCCTTCTAATTGGAAAAAGATCCCTCAGGGAAATTTTGCATCTAATAGATGAAATCCAAAGGCTTTCTTCGACCTCAGCCAGTTGAGAGCCAGCACAGCCAATCCCTCACTCAGTGTCTGCCTCAGCCCTTATTTCCCACCAACGCGTTTCCTTTCCCAAGCGTAACCACTTCCTCTTAGGCTCTAGGTTGGTTTACTCTGGGCTCTGGTTCCGTGCCAGCAGGACACGCTGAGCTTTACCTCAGCCGAAAGCACGTAAGAGGCTTGTGGCCTCCTCCTCAGAATCAAGACTTACCTTACGCTTCGATCCGACTAGAAACCTGATTTTTTTGGGGGGGGCGGGAGGGTCTGGGGGAGGGCATCTATATCTTCCTCCTTACAAACTGCTTGCTCTGACCTATGCCATGTGAGGGTGAGCCCTGGCTCTGGAAATAAATTGCCTGCCTTCTGACAGGTGCTCCAGAACGGACAGGAAGTCCGTTCCAGTTAGATTCCCTGCATGCCTTTGGACTTGAGTGATCCCAGGCCTGACCCTGAACTCCAGAGCCATGACTGGAAATGACCCAAGTTCTTGATGTGGAACCAAAAAGGAAGAGAGAACAGAGAGTGAATGATCAATGTCCTTTTGTACACCGGGTGGCAGTCCCAGATAAAGTGAGCTAATTACGGTAACGATGCTGGAAGCAGAGTTTTCTTTTACTTTCCTTTCTATGAAACCAGGTGCTGCCAGAATGTCCCTTAGAGGTCAGGATGGCCAGACTTCTCATGTACTTTGGACATGTTAGAGAGACCAGTCCCTGGGGTGGAGATCAGGCTGAGTCAAGGAGATGGGCAGAGAGAAAGATGAACAGTCACAGTGACTGTAACAATGGGCTTAGGGACAATTGTGCGGATGGTGCAGGACCAGGCCGTGTTTGCTGAGCTGGAACTGATTCAGTGGCACCTAATACCGGTAACAACAACAACATGAAACCAGGAATTGTTGAGAATCCAAGCCTTTTGGCCTCTTCAATAGGAAATTAATAAAAGGTTTGAGGACGGGGGGAGGACTTTTCTATAAATAAAGTATGGAAGATATGTTTTTTAAATAATAAGGATTAGAACATTTCTAGATAATGTAAATATATTTCTTTAAATCATGAGTTTTTAACATGAGGTCTATGTACATTTTGGGAGTGGGGATAAAGGATGTTTTGAAACTATGAACATTTATGTGTGTGTGTGTGTGTGTGTGTATGTGTATTTTTCTGGTGAAACAAATAGTCCATAGTTCAACTTCTAAAGTGGTCTATGTCCTAAAATGTCAAAAGCTAATGATCTAAGCAAATCTTCCTTCAATATATGCATGCCATGATAATATGACTGGTTCCTTGAAACAAAGGTTTTACAGAGTAAAGAGTCACATTTAACGTCAGTTCTGTCTAGCCAGTGACTCCATTTACCACCATCAGAAAGGGTTGTTGAACGATTTAGGCTAGTATTTTCTAGCTGAAGAGATAGTATGGTGAAAGTTTAGAAGTACAAAACTAAAAAAGACGCCAAGTTGATTTTCCAACTGCCCCTGTGGGTTTCTGAGATGGTAACTCTTTATGGAATAGAAAGCTCTATCTTTCTCCTGGGAGAGACTAGTGGTTTTGAACTGCTGACCTTGCCATTAGCAGCCCAACACTTACTGACGACAACACCAGGGCTCGCTCTTTCAGAAGTACAAGCTCACTTAATTGTCTTACAGGTAAGCAAGGAAAGGTAGGTTTGCATCCAAAGGGCTAGGCCTGATCTAAGGTGAAGATGCTCTCGTTGGCCGGCGATACAACATAACAGCAAGAAATTAAAACACCTTTAATATGTCTAAATGCCAAAGTTGACTGTGGCCCTAAAAACAATACTTTTAGTCACTCTTAGAGGATATAACAAGCTAACTCATTTGAAAACTGGTAAATAAAGAGAGTTAAGCAAGCATGTATGTTGCTTCTCCCATACAAACTATATTATCAAGTAAACAAGGGGAAGTGAGAAGTTCTGTTTTATAAAAGTATTTTGGTACACAATTGATGTATGTATGGATTGTGATAAGAGTTGTGTGAGCCCTAATAAAATGATTTTTTTAAAAAGTATTTTGGCTAAAAGTGAAGAAGTGATGTTAGAATGAGACTATTACCATTTTGCCACCAATGGTATATTAATAGATCTAGGTATTGAACAACAGCTACTAAAATCACAAAAATAGACAACCAGATAATATATTTTATAGAAGCAATATAATACAAAGTAGTCTTAACTGCTCTCCCCCAAACTCTCCCCTCCCCCACAAAATAAATAAACACAAGAAAATCAAACTGTTCTGGTGTTTAAATCATAGGTTCCCAAAATTATTTGGCCTATTGCTCCCTTTTCAGGAAAAAAAATTACTCAGGGCCCCACTGCATCCCACCCCCCTGGACAATTAGAAACGTTGGTACTATAGCCCATAATCCAGGATAAAACATAGGTTTTGCAGCCCCCCCTTGACTGTTCAGTGCACTCACCAGGCAGCAGTGTCACCTACTTTAGGAAACAATGAAATGCCAATTTCCAGAAAATATAGAGGTCAGAGATCTGTTTAAAATGACACCATGAAAAAAATATTCTTTTTTAAATACATAAAATGACACCATGGGGATGCGGTATCCACAATCCAGATGACGAAAACCTCTATAAGACAAATGAACTGGTTTCTTCAAAGAATTGCAAGCAAAAAGGGTGGGGTGGGGGGCTGTTGGGGGAGCCCAAGGATCAAAGAAATTCAAGATACACATCAGCCAGTTGCAATGTGTAGACCTCAATTAAATGCAGAAGCAAATAAACTATAAGAAAAATATGGCATTTAAGCACGATTGGAAACTTAAACTGGTTATTTGATCATTAAAAATATAGACTGATCTGAAAGAGACCAAGGGAACCCTCCGGACTGTGCTCCACGGCAACCAACTGAAGACACTTCCAGCGGCCACTTTCAGCCCATCTGTGTTGTTTCGGAGCCATCGAGGAGTTTAGGATCCATAGCGACCCTGTGCCCAGCAGAAGGAAAGCCTGCCCACCCTGCACCATCCCCACAGCGGTCCCTATGCCTGGCCCATTGCTGCAGCCACTGTGCCAACCCCTGCCGTGGAGGGCCTTCCTCTTTTTCGCTGTCCCAATCAATAGATATGCTTAGAGCATAAGCAATATGCGCAACCCCCCCGAAAGAATGTGCTCCTTACAACAATTAACTATCTACGACCAAAAGGGCAACATTTGTCTAAAACCAAAGATGAGAGAGCCGGGCGTGGCAAGCACACTAGTAAAAAGGACACAGGACCCCTTGTGGAAAAGGGAAGAGAGCTGACACAATGGGGGGCAGGGGAATTACAAGCAGTATCACTTAACAGCCTGAATGATTGAATGGAAAACGAATTTTCTATGTAAACTCTCACCTGAGGCACAATAAAATTTTCAAAACAGAAAGAAATCAATGTCAGCTTATAATAACAATCCTAAAGTTTTAAGAGTTTTTAAACTTTAGAGATACATATTGAAATATTTACAGTTAAAATGACATGGTTTCTAGGCTTTACTCGAAGAGCGTATAGGAGAGCAGTCAGGGGGAGCAGAGATGGAAACACATTGGCGCGCCATACAAGGTACATGGGTACACCATTCTAGTTTGTCCTTTCTTACC